GTAAATCTAGCTGTATAGTAAAAGGATCTGTACAATAATCTGGGACCACTTCTACTACTTAATTTTGCCCTTTTTAATGCCTGAACACTTTGATAACATTTAATTTGGCCACTTTCCCCTAATCTCATCACTTTGCTGCTAAAACACTTCCTTAAACACTATTTTACTTGTCACACGACTATTAAAAATTTCTCTATAGCTCTTTAAAAATAGTGGCTAATATTTATCAAGTGTGGTATATGCTAGTTAATATAAAATGCTTTCATGCAGTAACACGTTTAGTCCTCACAGAGACTGTTAGTGTACTCTGATACTCATGTTCTTCTCTGTTTCCCAGCCTCCTTTGCAGTGATTTTGGTCATATGACTTGTTATGGCTAATAGAATATGAAAGAAGTGACCACTGCTACTTTTGAGGGCAGAGTGGTTAAATGTCAGCTGTGTTTTCCCTGTGGTCTTCTTCCCTCTCTCCTACCACAATCTACTACTTTAAAAAATCAAGTTACATTGAAGTTACATGACACAAAGCCACAAAATGTAAGAAGCACGAGTTTCTGAGCCTGCTTAGATTAAGCCAAACTCACATTAGATATAATACAAACAAAAAATAAACTATTGTGTTAAATCACATAGATTTCTGTGTCTGTTGTTGTGTAGCACAATCTAATGACTTGTGCAAGGTAAACAGGAAGCGTGGAACTAGATATGCACCTGAGCAGTTTACTTATAAGGCCTATACATATATCTACCATGCTATAGTCCCTCTCCGTGACCACGGGATAAAGGAGACTTTTTATCCTAGCATACAAGGCCCATAAAATCAGGTGGTAATACATTATGTGAAATAATAGAGCATAGAGTTTAAATTCCAGGGCTCAGAACTCAAATTTCTTCTCTGACACTTACATCATAGCTGGGCATATTATAAGGTATCTGAGCTTTAGTAATACCTCTGTAAAATGAGAATGAAGTAAAGTAATATGTACAGGTACTTAGCCCATCTTCTAACATACTGTTTAAGGATAAGTACTTGATTTCTTATATCTTTCCAGTGGTATTTCCCAGTATACATACTTTACACCTGAATAGATTAGCTTTCTAAAAGAGCCAGACCTCATATTTCACATTCCCTCCTTTTCTTGGATGTTTCTTTGACAAAAAGTGTTTTTTTTTTTCTTTTAACTTGATTTTAAATCTTACCAAACTTTAGAGGTTTAATTAAAAGTTTGCCTCTTCAGCAAAGGCAGTTTTTCCTCATCACACTAAATTAAGATGGTATTTCCAAATTTCTGAAGTATATTTATTGCCTACAATAATCACTTAACACATATCAGGTACTGAAATCTGAGAGTTAAGAGTACAGAGTCTGAAGCCAGACTACACAAGTTTGAATCCTGGTTTGAATCCATCTGCTAGCTGTGTGAAACTGGGTAATTTATTTACCCTTTTTGTGACTCATTTTCCTTAACTACATAATGGAGATACTAGGTAGTTATTTCACTAGGCATATTATGAGGATTAAATGAAAACAGTGCTGGGAACAAAGTAAATGCATGTGAGTGTTTGCTATCATTTTTAGTTTTCACGGTTTTTGCATACATTTTATATCTCTAACTAGATTATTAAAAATGACTTGAAATAATGGGTTACACTGAATTTCCTTTATAATGGCCAACATGTTAGGACACTGGTTGCATATAGTAGGCATACACTAAACACTTGGAGATTGAGAACTGATATGTAGTCTGTTTAGCCTATGAATGGAAAATAGTAGATTTTTGGTGCTTACCATGTTCCAGGTATTTTTCTCAAGAAAAGATGTGTATTATCTCATTAAATTCTCGTAACTGCCCCATAATATACGGACTATTATTATCTTCATTTTACCAGTGATGATTCAGAGACATAGGAAAGTTAAGGATCACACAATATGGGAAAGGGGTAGAACGTCCTTGTTTAAAAACTGTGATTTCCAAAATTTAGTATGCATCGAATCACCCACAGGCTTGTTAAAACACACATTGGGCATCATTGCCTAGTTTATGATTAAGTGGATCTGGACAGTGTCCAAGATTTTGCATTACTAACAGGTTTCCAGGTGATGATGTAGTCGCTGGTCTGGGGATACACCTCTGAGAATTACTGTACTGGAGTATACTCTCCTTTATGCTACGCATTTTAAATTATACTTGGAAACATACTTCTTAAGTAGAAAGTGACAAGATCTGTTCTAAAACATGTAAATATATACCAGGTTTCCCCGCCAAAAAACCAAAACAGCATAACATTAGAAATTGATGTAAAAGCTGAGCTTTAAAGAAAAAGAAAGAAAAATAGACTTTATGGCAAAGACAATAACTCAGCTGTGATACACAAGTTATCAAGTAGCAAATTACACAGATGTTCAAGTTGGTATAAAAATGTTTCTATTTCCTTAACCAAAGACCAATTAACAAATTCAGAAAACCAGCACATATGATAAGTATGTCAGAGGTTTACAGTGGCCTCAGACAAGGGAGAGAACAGAGACTATTCTCTAGACTCACTTATCCTGTCCTACAGGTGGACGGAATCAGATAAAAATTTTAAACATAACTAGATTACTGATTCCTATGTAAGAAGGAATGTTCTTTCTGAAGTCATCAGAACCAGGATCTTCCTGACTATGGTCACATATCACAGGGAAAACAAATGAGAGCAAGGAATCAACTACTTCTGCCTTAAAATCAAATGTCACGACAATCCTTTTTTAAATCATTCAATCCTCCTTGTCTATATTTTGTTCATAAATATTATATTTTAATTATGTGATCAAATTCATAGGACTTGCTGACTTCATCTAAACTCTGAAGATCCTGAAATAGATTTTCCTATATGAATTTTAGTAAACGTTTGCCTTTCTTTACACTTGAGTATGTTGTCAACTCACCTTGCTAATTATGCTACAGGCCTTGTCTATTCTTGGCTTGTTCTGCCTTGATGTACCCCATAACTTGATATGGCACAAATGCCAAATGTACAATAAATCATGTTAAACCATTTATCAAATGCATGCTGCTGGACATTAAAAGGGACAAGAATTTGGGCCAGAATCATCACCAGAAAATCCCAAAGAGGACATATGTAAGTCTTTCACTATTCTGGGATATAGTTCTCCTAGACCTGGGTAAATGAGTAATGATCTGAGGATGTGTGAGAGAAAACCATATAAGTACAAGGAAAACAACCAGTGGGAAGCAAAAGGCAGAAAAATCACAGGAACCCACATAGGGCTGGAATTAATTCTCATCAGTCATAGTTGAAAGAATACATAAGAAGTGTCAGGGAGAATACTCAGAAAGTCAGTACCATAGTAGTGTGGCTAAATTAGCACTAGACTAAAAGTTTCCTTCAGAACTTAAAAGTTAGCTTTGAAAGTATCTCATTAATTCCAAGCAATTTAGCTGCTGCATGTCAGAGACAAAATAGATGCTATTTAAACGAACAAAAAAATTAAGACATCAACAGTATAAAATTAAAAATGTCTAGAATATAAGTAAAATTGACCAGTCATGCAAGAAGTAGGAAAATATGACCCAGAATAAAAAGAAATAATAATAAAAATTGACCTCAAACTAATAGAGATGATAGACTAGCAGAATTTAAAAAATGGCTATTATAAGTATTCTCCATATGTTAAAGATGATTCAGGAAAACATGAGTATGATTAAAAGAGAAATTTCAAATGTTAAAAAAAGACATAAATGAAACTTCTAAAGATGAAAAGCACAATATCTGAAATTTGAACTGAAAAATTGGATGGGATTACAGAGTAGATAGATGAGAAGATTCACAGAGAACTTGAAGACAACAGTAATTATTAAGAGTGAAGTACAACAGAAGAAAAAAGTGTAATAAATATAAGAACAGAATAATAGCAACTATGGGCTATAACAAGTGGTATAACATTGGTGAGACTGGAGTCCTAGTACAAAATAGGAAGGGGGCAGAAAAAATATTTGAAAAATAATAGCCAAAAAATTTCCATCAGATCCAAGAGATTCAATTAATCATTAGCAGAGTAACTCTATATAAAAATCACACCCAAACATACAATAATCAAACTGCTGAAAACAATTGATAAAGAGAAAATCCTAAAAATATCAGAGACAGAGAAATGAAGATAAAAATGGAAGTAGTAACACAATAAGTAAGAAACAACAAAAGTCATAAAGACAATAGAGAGAGATTTTTAAAATACTAGGAGAGGGGACTGACAGCAAAGGCACATGAAGGAATTTTCTGAGCTGATAAAAATGTTCAATACCTTGCTTGTCATAGATTTTACACAATATTCATACTCATAAACAAAACTGATAGAGTTTACTATATGTAAATTATCTCAAAAAGAATTAATTGTAAAAAAGATGCTACCAATTTGGAGAAAATAGTGAATGATATGAGAATTTCAGATTAGAAAAAGTTTTAAAGAAGAAAGTTTATTTAAAAATTACAAAATATTTTTCTTCATTTACATCTAGTCACTGGAGTATTCCAAAGAGAGGTATATATTCACACATGCTTATAATAAATACATACTTCGACAGACATCAAATTTCTCTTTTAAGAAATTAAAAGCAAATTTAAATTATTGGTAGAAAAAAAGTAATTTTAAGTAGCAAGCCCTGTGATTAAGATGACTCATAAAAAGTAATTCCCAACAAATGTCTTTTCTATATACAAAACCCAAGTTAACATCATACTAAAATTGTCACATAATCAATGATATGAATCAGAATTATCATTTCAAATTTGCATTAGTTCCTACCTGTGCCAAAAATTATTTTAGGTTGAATGTATTTTTAAACTATTTTTATAAAACCTTTTACTTTTGAATACCTTTTAAAAATTATTTTTATTAACTTTTCCCAAGCAATTAGTATATACAGAACAATTTTTAATCAAATTGTTTTCTGCATCTTTAACAAAGTATGTGTATAGGGTGCAATAATGATTTTTTACCTCCAGTTTATTTCTTGAAGGAACGGATTTCCAGTGAGAGTCAATTCACGCAGAGAATAGCATGCACCAAACCACTTTATGGCACTTGTAAGATCTACGAAAAACAATAAGAATCATTATAAAAAACATCTTAGATAAAGAAAAGTAATCATAGATCAATAATTATTTTATTTAATTAGGAATTAAAGAAAATAAAAATTATTCTACAGAAAACAATATACTTTTAAAAGGAGACTGTATTGAAAACACAGACTCTGCTGTCAGAATATATATTTATACTATTTAACAGCTATGTAAACTTATGTAAATCATATAATTGATTTATGATTCAGTTTCATACCTATCTCATAGGGTATGAATTAAATAAAATAATATGTGTAAAGGGCTTATAAAAAGTTCATGCCAGACTGTAAACACAAAACCTGAAAAAGTAAAATCTAAAGTAATATGATAAATGGTAAAATTGAACATACACTTAAACAGATACATGGACCTATTAAACTTTCAAAAGTAAAAATAGTAGGTCAATCTAGAGTATATTACAGAATAATTTGTGTTGGAATTGCTATCTCACAGAAAACAATCATAAAACTGGATGATATGTATGAAATACTTGTTTTTAAGCCTAACTCTGAGAGAAGGGAAACACACATGATGAGCCTACAATCACAATGGTTTTCTGCCTAAAAGCATTGTACTACTTGAGGGCAGGAAAGTGGAGACCAAGCAAAGAGGCTGTTTTGCTGAGTGAGGAGGCAAAGATTAGAGCTGAAGCTGCAATTTATGGTAAAAAGTACTGAAAAGAAGCTGTGTGTGTATATGTTGGTAGGGAGGAAGTTGAAGAAATCTATGTGAGGATTAACCTCAGGTCCTTAGATGAGGGCTAGGTGTTACATAGGCAAGGCAAGACTAAAAAACCTAGCAGAGATCACTTCTGTAGGGCTAAGAACTGAATGATGACACTAAAGTTCATGCAGCAATGAAAGACACTGAAGTTTCAGCCCAGCAAGGATGAGATTTAATTGAATATCTCAGAGATTTAGCTAAAATCCAGAAAGACTGAGAATTAGGAGAGCAGACAATGCCCTGGAGTAGGAGCATGCACTACAAGTTGAGGGGGAGTAGATAAGAGTAAAAAGGGGTAAAATATATGGTGATGGGAAGAAATTTAACTTTAGGTGGTGATCACCCAATACAATATACATATGACATAGTATTGAATTGTACACTTGAAACCTATATAATTTTCTTAACCAATGTCACCTCAATACATTTAATAAAAAAAAAAAAAAAGAGCTGAAAACTAAAATGACCTGTCCTAATAAAGAATAAAATTAAGGCTGACAGAAACAAAATTATCCATCAATACTTTAACTGTCTGCCATAATTAAACATCCTTTAAAAAGAAGACAATGATGCCCAGACAATGATGCCCAGACAATACTTTAACTGTCTGCCATAATTAAACATCCTTTAAAAAGAAGACAATGATGTCCAGAACGTACAATGTTCAACATACAGTTAAAAATCATTAGACATATAAAAAATAGAAAAATACAACCTAACAAGAGAAAAACAATTAATAAAAGTGAATCCAAACTAGCCAAATATAAATCAATTTTTTGACAAAGACACCAAAGTATTTCAATGATGAAAAAAGCTTGGTCGACAAATGTTGCTGGAACAACTGGATATCCATATAAAACCTGAACTCATCCTCTACTTTATAGCATTCATAAAAATTAATCTGACATGGATCATAGGATCAAAGGTAAAAATTAAAAGTACAAAACTTCTATAAGAAGGCAAGAAGGCATAGAAAATCATCTTCTCAATCTGCAGGTGGGAAGATATCACACAAGACACAAAAGACAATAATTATTTAAATAATAAATTAAGTTTCGTCAAAATTTAAAACATCTGTTTATCTAAAGATACCATTAATAAAATTAATAGGTAAAAAAGGCTGAGAGAAAATATTTAGAAAACATATCTGACAAAAAATTTTTATCCAGAAAATATAAAGAATTTATACAAATCTATAAGAAAAAAGCAAATAATGAAATTTAAAAAATGGTAAAACACTTGAATAGACACAAAAGAATATACAGAAATCATCAATAAAGGCATGTAAAAAGGCACAATATCATTAATAAACAGGAAAATTCAAACTAAAACCATAATAAGATAACACAATGAAATACTAAACATTCTCTAGAATGGAGCAATTGGAACCCTTGAACATAGCTTGTGGGGGTGTAAAATGTTACAACTACTTTGGAAAACAATTTTCTCAGTTTCTTATAAAGTTAAATATACACCTACTCTTTATCCAGCAATTACTCTCTTATGCATTGACCCAAGAGAACTGAAGACATTATGTCCACAAAAAGACTTGTAGAAGAATTTCCATAAGAACTTTATAATCATAGTAGCCTCAAACTGCAAACAATTCAAATATCAATCAACAGGAGAATAGATAAACAAATTGTCATATATGTTATATTCATACAGGGAACTACACTCAGCAAAAAATAAAAATTAAAAAAAATAACAGATTACTGATGTAAACAACATGGTGGAATATCACGTTAATACTCAGCAAAGAAAACTGGAGGCAAGAGAGAATGTACTTTTTGATCTCATTAATATGATGTAGAACAGTCAAAATTAACTATGGTGACGAATTAAAACTATAGTTTTCTCTATGAGGGTATTGATTGGGAATGGTGATGGGGAAATTTTGGAGGGATTAGTCAACCAAATCAATTCATTATTAGTCAACCAAATCATTCTTTATTTTTAATTGGCATCTACTCTATACCTACTAGGAGTCAAATTAGACAAGTTTGTTTATTCATCTTCACTAGGATACTCATTTCATAGTTAAAAGACACAAATTTTAAATTAAAATATCATTATGACATTTGCTCAGGTCTACCAGAAAGGTATGGGAGGAATATAATTTTAAAAATAGAAAGAATTTTAATTAAATTATTTCACTATGTCTTTGAAGGAGTTAAAAACACACAGCCTCAAAATGCCAGAATGGAACTTAAAAAACAGCAGATACGAGAATGCTCTGACCTTCCTTTCTTCTTTTTCTTTAAAGCAGAACATGAAATTCTTATGTGAAAGATGCAGGAAGAAAGAGATATTCTAACAACAAGGACTGGAAGTAGAGGTTAAGAGATATGCGTACAAACCTGTTAAACTATCTCTTATTTCCTAGTTACTTCTCCATCCAATTAACTATCTTAGCCCAAGAACCCTTGTCTTGTCACATTTTCACGATTTACTACCCTTGTACAACTCACTACATAAGTGTTTAATTCTTTTATTTATTTATTTATTTATTTATTTGAAAAATGATTTAAATTTATTTTTCCCTCGTCTACCCCTACCCTCCCCACCTACCCTCTGATAATCACTAGTCCATTGTCCACGTCCATGAATCTCTGTTTGTTTGTCCTGTTCATTTGTTGCTTTTAGGTTTATATCCCACATATAAGTGATATTATGTGATTTTCAACTTTTTCAATCTGGCTTATTTTGTTTTGTATGATTATCTCAAGGTCCTTCCATGTTGTTGCAGATGGCAGTATTTCATCTCTTCTTATGGCCGAGTAATACTGTTGTCACAAATGGCAATATTTCATCTCTTCTTATGGCTGAGTGATATTCCATCGTATATATGTACCACAGCTTCTTTAGTCAGTCATCTATCGTAAGACACCTCGGTTGCTTCTATGTCCTGGCCACTGTGAATAATGCTGCTATGAACATCAGTGTGCAAATATCTTTTCAGACATGAGTTTTCAAATCTTTGGGGTAATACCCAGTACAGGGATTGCTGGATCATATGGTAGATCAATTCTTAGTTTTTTGAGGAACTTCTATAAGTGTTTAATTCTAACTGCTTTTTGGGATCTTCATTCTTCTTGTGGTAATGCCAACATACATGAAAAAAACAATTAAAACTTTTATTCTTTTCTTCTGTTTGTCATTTGTCAGTTTAATTTTCAGACTAAGACTTCAAGGTAGAGAAAAACATTTTTCTTCTTTTATGCCTTATTGTGTGTGTGTGTGTGTGTGTGTGTGTGTAACTTGTACACTCCATTAACACATCTATCAAAAACAACCCCTTATCATATTCGGAACAGAAACTCAAAAGCCTATTTTTTAAAATTACATATTATTCTCAACTTACCAGAAAGACAATTGTTGCTGACATCTAGTTTTTCCAGAGAAATAAAATGAAAAAGCGGTATTATTTTTGTCAAGCTGAAAACAAAAAAAAACAGAATTCATAAAAATTTTTAATTGTAATGTCCTTAACATTATTGAATTTACTATATAATTATACATTTATATAACACAATTTATAATAATATGCAGTTATATATAACTAAATACAATTATAATGACATTTATCAATAGTACTTATTAAAATTAAGTTTTTAATAATTATAAAATTTTAAGCATTCTATAATGGAAAATTTATCATCATTTCTAAAAAGAAATTATCATGAAATTGCCAATTTCAATCACAAATATCATGGATTTTAATGTGTACTTGATATTTAATAAAAATAAGTGGGTATTTTGTTGTTATTGGTTTGATTTGTCTTTGTATAAGGCAAAATTTAGAGAGACTTTATATTATTTACATATTTTTTTCCTGCATCAAACACAGAACTTAAAACATTAGGAGGTAAAATCATAAAAATATTTATTTTCACTTTTTGACAGGATAGCTAATTAGAGTCATTAGTTTTTTTTTTTTAATTTGAGAAATGTTATGTTTACTAGATTGAAAGTAATTATAAGAAAGTATCTAAAGTTACATTGGGTCATTTCTAAATTGGAAATATGCATCCAAGAAACACAATAATAGAAAATGTTTTATATAAGTAAAACATTTTAGAATAGACAAATCTGGTAGAATTAGATTTACATTTAAAATCAATCTTCATTAATTCATGCATATTCAAATTCTAATAACAATAAACTACTACTTTAACAAGTTTCTATCATTTTTAAAGATAAAGTTATCATTAAAAACCTATACTAAAGCAAGGAACATAAACAATATTCAAAATATTCACATCATTGGAAACAAAAGCTATGAAGGAAAAATTAACTTTAGGTTGAATTGCATTTCTAACTAAGACAAGTCTACACTTACTCTGAACATAATATCACATTACTCTGGATATTTGGAAATAAAAATTAAACCAACTAATCTAAATCTTTAAATAAGACAAAATTTCCTTTTTGTAAAATATATTTACATCACAAATACAAAAGTTTTCTGAACTAATTTACCCTATAAATGTTGGAATTCCATAAATGTTCAAAATATGTTTCAACTAAAGGAGAATTTTTGGTTCAAAAAAAAAGTATGCATTAATTTCCAGTTTTTTTTACTTTCTTTCTTTCTTTTTTTTTTTTTAAAATACTGTCCCTCCAGTTGTCCTGGAAAAGAATTTTACATCTTTATTTCTAACAGATCCCTGCTATGAAAAAAATATATATACTATTATTTTAAGGTCAGAAGCTTACATACTGTGACTGGAGGCCTCATGGGTCTGGCACAAAACTAACCCTGGTATTGCCCTTGTCTCCTCTCTTGTACTATCCTATTCTGAATTATCAGAGAAAAAAAAGATACTACTGATGAAAAATATAGACTCAATAATGGGCTGGAACATCTATCTGAATGTAGCCAATCCTAGGTACAATATTACTATTCATACTGAAATTACTTAACACTATTTCTTAAAATCAATTCTAAGAGGAAAAATCAAAGGTAATAAAAGAAAAAGTGAAAAAATATTGAGTACTACATTTATACTTACACTTAATTATTTGTACACATACTCCTTAACAGTAAAATTTACTGAAATGTCACATGTACACAGAAAAAGAGAAAGAAAAAAAGAAAGAAGAAAAAAAACTTAAAACATTGTCTGTATATAATTAGTGGATTTAAGCCTTAATATTATGACATACCCTATTCAGGTATGTTCTAGATTATTATACAAGCAAGAAATTAAAGTTCTTCAAGTGAATATATAATTCTAATAAATATACTTATTAACAAGAATATTCTTATTTATTTTCTACCTTTAAAATATTTCTTACATTAAGTTTTTGTCCTTCTACTAAAAGGATTTGGAAAGTTTGATTAGTTTTTATCTTTTCAGAATATCTCATGTTTTCAACTACTAAGTTATATGTCAACATATAAGTAACATATAGGTTATATGACAACATCAAGTAAAAATAAGCAATACATTTTAGAGTTAAAAACAAAAATCTCCTGTGCAAATATCAATCCCAGTAAGGAAATATTTTTCACCAAATATTTTTATAATATTGAAATTTTATCTTTTCAGCTAGTCATGTTTTAGAATCATATTCTTTTTTTTTTTTTTTTGGAAATGTTAATCAAGAAAACTGGCTATTTGTTCACTTTTATGACTATTCATTAGGATGGTAGAAACCTAATAGTAGAATCTTACAAAAAAAAAAAAAGAAAAAGAAAAAGAAAAAAAAACCTCCAGAACTTTTCCTTTTTACTGACATTCTCTCTATATTTTTTTCTAAGAAAATTCAAACCAGAAAGACAAAGGACATTAGTGAAAACCTAATACCATTTGACCTTGTCACATTAGCCCTGGGCATATAAAAGATATAAATTTCAAAGAAGAAAAAAAGCAAAAGATTTGTACAATGAGCAGCCAATGGCTAATAGTTTCCACTTTCTGCTCCTACTTTGAGTCTCGCTGGAAATAGAAAGGCTTATGAAGCTGGAGAGTCTTCCAATTAGAACGCCTCTGAGTTAAACTTAAAACAGTCACATGTCCTAATGAAAATTTAAAACAGAAGTCAGGATGAAACAAGTATTTCGAACAATATGTACTAAGTATCATTCTTTATATGTATTTCATTTGTTCACAAAAAAAGCATATGGATACATAATTTCTTCCTTGTGATGAAAATATCTATCAAAAATTAAAAGGAAAATATAAACAATTTAAAAGATATACCAGCCACAAATCCAAATATCATATTTATAAAATTTTTCTCAGGTTTATAAAATGTATTCACATACATTTTCCTTTTGGCTCATCATTAAAATCCCATAAAATAGGTAAGGTAGGGAATACTACCTTATTTTTTACACATGGAAAAAAAAGTGAGGTTCAGTGAGAAGAGAGTTAGTTGTTCAATATCAACTGACAGATAAATTATAGATTCAGAATTCAAACCTAGATCTGCTGACATTGGGTTTTACCCAAACTGATATGGTTCTGAAAAAGTCAATGCACATATAAGATTAATGTAAGATGGGTAGTTTTTACAGTTAACAGTATTAACTTATTGTGAAAAATCTTAGGTTGAAAATTATTTTTCACTATGAGTTTAGAAGATAATTTTATATTATATATATCTAATCATATTGATCACATTTCTCTGGTTCCTTCAGACTTTCTCCCTTCATCCTCTCAGAAATGGTAGAAGGCTACATGTGCAAAGAACTTTGAGAGACTCACAAAAACTATATTCAAATATAAGTGACAGTATTATTAAAAAATCCAAAAAGCACATATTATATAATAATTTTGCCTCTTTTTTATATAGTTAAGTTCAAAAGATTAAATTCTTTTATTCTTAAGAATTTTTTGAGGGTAAGGACATATATTACTCAGTTTTGCAGCCCCCAAAATAGCCAACACCACCTCAATGTCCAAATTTCATAAGATTAAGCAAACAAAATTCTAAATAAGTATTATTTGTTTTTAGTATCTCGTTTACTGTTATCAATGTTAAAAATTTTTAATAAACTAGTTTATATAACTTCTAGTCATAGAAACTTATCACCTCTAGTCATATCAGTTTGATTAGGGCAAATGTCTCAGCTAGTATTAATTTTAACTTCTAAAAATAGAATATTTCTTTGATGATTTAAGTTGTCCAAAATAATTAAAGGCATTATTTGTCAAAAAAGTTTTTGATTTAAATATTTCTAATCTTTTAAAATATTATGTTTATCAACGTAGCTTGAGATCCATTTCAATGATATATGCTAGATACATCAATTACTGAGTAATTTATTGCATATATCCAAAGCATTGCTAAGTTTTCTATTAAAATTTTATTTCTTATCTGGAAATATCATGAAAAGATCGAATGGGTTTGTGGATAGCCCAAATTACCTAAACAGTATTGTCTGAATGATTTGGATCTGGAATAAACGTCCTTTTAAAGTCAAATCTCCTTTTATATTTTAGATCTGATTAAAACAATTTGAGGGAATTTTTGAATACAGATTCAGTTTTTGATTTATTAAATAGTGGAATAGTTTAATAGGTGGAAGTTAAATCATTTGAGACATCCATTCTCAAAGGATGAGCACTATTGCGGCAGAGATTGAGAGAAAACTTTATTTTTTTGGAGGAAAAATGGGTACATATATTAACATTGTGTTGTCCTTGTTCACTTGTTTTGCAAGAATTGTTTAACTCCAAGAAGAAATTTCTTGTTAAAGGTGGTTCCCTTTCTCCTACTCCATGTGCCTTTCATGAGCAAATTAATCATATTAGAGTGAATAGGTCTCAATGAAATATTAAGCAGAGGGAGACATACACACATTGTGCTCCTGTTTTGGTTTCAGACAGTTATTTTCTGCAAAGATCCAGATGTTTGGTGGTTTCAAATGGATCTTCTGTGGCAGGTATCCATCTCAATTTAATGTTAAGGTATTTTTTTAAAGTTTTACTTTATATCCTTCGAGAAATCAAATTTACATCAATCTTAAAAGTTACAAAAAGACATGCAAGTAGAGAGCAGATTAAAAATCGTTCTTCCAGGAGTTAATAAGTACCATTTGAGAGAATGAGACATCCTTCTGAATTAAATTAACTACCTCCTCTATTTTTAAAGGACTATGTTCTTTACAAATATAAACAAACATGCCCTCAGAGATTTCTGCAAGTGGGTCTTTAAGAAGAAATAAAAGAGTAGGGTAACAGACAATTAAAAGTCTACTGAAATTCAAGGGTATGTCAATATACTAATTTTTAAATTCTATAAAGTTATATTTATAACTTATTATTATGCACTTTCATTAAATTACTGGAAAAAAACTAGCTTTTCTTCTACTTGCTATAAAAAATCACACATTTAAGTAATCATTCACTGCATTCATTATTTAAGCAAAGTTTATTTTTACCTGTTTTGAGAGAGAGTCAGGTTTTGTAGTAAAGGCAGCCAATATGAAGAAAATGCTTCCACAGTTGAAATGCTGTTATCATCCAAGTATAGTTCTCTTAGTAGAACGTGATTCTCCAAGGATGGAAGCTATATTTAAATTTAGGTCTTTAGCTTATATTAAGCAAAATATTTTTATCATTTAACTAAATTTAAAAATATAAATCCTACCAAAACAACGAATATATTCTGGTAAACTATCTCATAAATCAAAGTATAACGTTATAAGGATTTTAGTATGAATAAAGTTTCTAAGAATCTCACAATTAGAAATTTCTTTTATAAAGGTACTTCATGAAAAATATCAATTAGAATTTCCTGATAGAGAATTTAGTCCAATTATATACTGAAATATAACTGAAAAGTTATGATTTATTATATTTTGGTATTATAAAAAAACTAATGTTAAATTATATTTCTTTAGAAAATATTCTATGACAAACATTCTTTAAATACAGAAAAGTATGTAATAGTTTAAAGTAAACAAAATCACATATGGCTGATGAGCAAAGAGAACAAAGAAAAATTAGTCAAAATTGCTTTTAAAATGTGTGGTTGATATTTCTATCAAAAGAAAAGTGTTGCATTATTTACAGAAACCAATCAATTCAAAGCAATTACCTCACTTAGATAATTTCCTTGCAACTTCAGTATTTGGAGCAATCCACAATTTTCAATACCCTCAACTTCGGTAAGATGATTATGTGAGCAATCCAGATATATTATGGTAGGAGTATCACAAAGACCTTTTGTGCTAATTAACTGATTGTGGTCCACAACAAGTTGCTGAAGATTTTTCAGATATTCTAAACCACCTGAAAGAAAAAATTTCCATGATCACTTGTATCATAATTTTTCCAGACTCTAAAGGAAAGTTTCAGGTTTTTTATCTTATTTTTTCTAAATAATTATACATCTATACTTCTCAACATTTCTAATTACCAATGAAGACTTAGATCAAATTCCTGGTGAAAAATGTGTAAGTGTAAAATGTACTATCATTTAAACTTGTACCTGGGAGATATATTTTTAATTGACAGAATTATATATCAATTGAAAATTGAACAAAATACAAAAAGTCATACATTGGGCATTGAATTTTTTATTTTCAAATTACAATGGAATAAAGGATAAATAAAAGGACCACTTTTTTAAAAAAAATTTTTTTTAACTGTTTCAAGGGTTTGAATTTTGTATCTTTAGTTAAGTTTGAATATATAGCATTAGAATGTCATTTTCCTACCATATAGACACCTACCTTAGATTCCCAGATAAAGTAAGTGCAACCATATTAACATCAATGAAGTAATGATAAATGCACCTAAACGTTCATCAATAGACAAATGGATAAAGATGATGTGGTACATATATATAATGGAATATTAGTCATAAAAAAGAATAAAATCTTGCCATTTAAAACAACATGGATGGACCAGGAGGAAGGCAGTATGCTAAATGAAATAAGTCAGACAAAGACAGACAAATATCATAAGATTTCACTTATGTGTAGAATATAAAAAAATAAAATATACAAACAAAATAGAAACAAACTCATAGATAAAGAGAATACTTTGAGAGCTGCCAGATGGAAGGGGGTTGGAGGATAAGTGAAAGAGGGGAAGGGATTAAGAAGTACACAATGGTAGTTACAAAATAGTCGTGCTATATAAAGTATAGCATGAGGAATATAGTCAACAATATTGTAACAACTAGGTATGGTGGCAGATGGGTACTAGATTTATGGGAGTGATCACTTCATAAGTTATATAAATGTCTAATCACTGTGTTGTACACCTGAACCTAATATAATATTGTATACCAACTATAATTGAAAACTAAAAAAAATCAGATAAGTTATAGAATTAGTATATTATAAAAATACTTCATAGAGACATATTTAAAAATTTATGTCAAAATTGCAGTAATAGTTTGAGTCAAAACAACAATGTTATGGTTATTTCTCATAAAATGTTTTTATGCCCCAAATTAAATTTTCTTATGATGAGAAATAATTCATGAAATGTCTAAGAGTAGTAGGAAAATGCATAGAAGACCCATAGAAGAAAAAAGAGACTGAAATTTAATTTCAGGCAGTAATCTTACATTTTTAAGTTCTATCTAGAATGGGTGTACTAGTATTTTCCTGTAATGTAAATTAGCGATTATAACTTAGAGAAAATTGTTATCTGATGTTATTTGGGGAGTGAATTGTTCTGCCCTATAACATAACTGACTAAGGTGAAATAACAGATCAATGATATATTATCAATTTCAAGGGAATATAAATAATATGTCACATGTAATAGTAAATATATATTAGCCACAATGTAATTTAAAGTCTGCTGAAATAAAAAACACTTTAGAGTTTAGTATGCCTTGTGATCATATCTAATAAACATTAATTAACCAACTGAAACAGATAAATGCATTCTAGGCAGAAAAAAATACTAATTAATATTAATTTGTAGCTGTGTAATTTAAAATGGCATTTATCAAATATTTAAATGTCTTAAGCAATCTACTTTTATAAGCTCAATATTTTAAAAGCCATGCACATTGCTCTTAAGTTTATCAGAGCTCGTCAGAAATAGAATTTTCTATTAACTCATTTAGAGTAGAAAATAGATTTGTGAAACTTTTCGAAGGTCACCCCCCACACACAAAAAAATCAAGAATGAAATATTAGGTTACAGACTGAGAAAAGGTAAAAGATTTGGCATAATAAGCTGAAAAAAAAAAAAGATAAAGCAAGAGAGCAATTGGAAGAGGAAGAGAGGAAAAGGCTAATAAAATTCTGAGATGATGATAGTGGTTAGTAAAAATAAAAATAATATATAATTTACAATTATCGAAGGCATTTTTATTTACATTAAATTATTTGTGGTCAACAGTGTGAACCAGAGTGGGCAAAAGAGTACAAACAATTCACTGCTTTGGCAATGATGCAGCAGCTTTTGCTAGGGGTATTAATGGAGTAATCAATTTAGAAGCCACAGTGCAGTGAAAGTAGAGATAATGAATGTAGACTATTTTTCAGATATATGCTAATGTGGAGAAGATCCTTCAAAGTCCTTAAAATGGCCCACAAAACCCTGTCTCTGAACTCAGCCCCTACTATTGTCCCCTTCTCTTGGCTCACTGTAACATGTTGACTTCCTTGCTGTTCCTTGAACATGCCACACATGCTTCTACCTTAGGGCTGTCTGTATACATAAGAAACAACGATCAGAATGTGACATGTTTGGCTACGAAGAATAAAATGAAGCTCATCAACCAATTTCAAATATTAAGACAACATGATTTTCAATCAATACACAGTGAAGTTACTCTCTACAATCTGTTAGAGGGTCCAATCTGCTTAAATTACCATGATTTCAGCTCCAGATAGAGGTATATTTGACTGAGCATTTCTACTTCTAGGAATCCATTATACAGTGATATATACAAAACTATAAAATAATAGATTCTTTGCCACATTATTCAAAAACAAATAAATGGAGATAAATGTATATGAGCAAAGAAATAGTTAATAAATTATGGAGTATCTACAAAATGAATACACATAATGTTCAATATGTAGTAGTCTGACAGAGAAGAATGTCCATTTTATATTACTGTATGTAAAAGTTACATACATAGGCTTTTAACTATTGAGTATACCTGAATCTAAATCTACACATCTATAATTGTACTGTGTAAAACAAGATCTTCACTGATTTGTAAGCAACTGTGAACAACTCCTACAAAATAGGAAAAATGTAGGCAGAGAAATGAAATTTCACTGCTTACGTTTTATACTTCTTTATTTTCACATTTTTTTAATGAGAATGTACTGTGTAATAGTTTTTAAAAAAACAATATATTTGAAAAAATGTCAGAATAAGTAATGAATAGAACTATTATTCTGTATTTAATCCTGACCACCCCCACCAACGAATGGTTGTTGAATTAAAGAAAACTTGGGAAAACTTGATTCTATAATCCATCAAAAGGGTTTGTTATATAGCCAAAATGGAAGAACTCTGTACATAGATGGGAGGTCATACTTCTTAGATTTTAAGATGAAAGTTTTAAAGGAAATTCCGTGAAATGGTAAAAAAATGATTCGGTAATATCTCTATAACACTGGCCTAAATATAACAACAAGGGTGGATATGCTTTAAAAAACAACAAATATTTATTATATGACCTAAAAATTAGCCTAAAGAGAAAAGAAAAAGAAGTCATCTAAAAAATATGTGGAACTGAGGTCTGCCAACAACCACGTGAGAGAGCTTGGAAGTAGATCTTTCATCCTCGCTGAGCCTTGAGACAAAGGCAGTCCTGGTTAAGAGCTTGACTGCAGCCTCATGAGAGACCCTGAGCCAAAACCACCCAGCTAAGCCACTCCCAGATTCCTGATCCACAAAAATATGAGGTAATAAATGCTTGTGGTTTTAAATTCTAAGTTTTAGGGCATTTTGCTTCACAACAATACATAATTAATATAGTAAATGTTCTAGTCTGAAGAAAACATGAGAAAGAAGAAAACACACTTAAAATGCTTTGGGCTATGGAAGAACATTTAAAGAAGTTTAATGTAAGAATTCAAAAATATTAAAACAACAAATATAGGTAAACAAATGGGCCAAAATAGACTATGAAAGAATAAATAATTTAGATACATTTATAGAACAGAGACCTAAAGATTGAATTCCCTGAAAAGCAGAGAAAATCACAATGAGAATAAAATGTGGAGAAGATAAAAATACGTGTATTAAATTAATTAAATATTAATAGACATGACAGATAGACAAAAGTCACCCAAAATATGAGTCATCTATGACTGAAAAATAGATTCAAACCAAAAAGAGTTTTCAAATATATAAAAACCAAAATTTTCCAGAAATTAAAGAATAACTAATCTGTAGTTTGAAGAAGACATTACATTCCAAGACAAATTGATGTGGATTTATTGACAAAAAGATGTTTCTTGGTTAAGTTAGTGATCAAGGACAAAGGAAATGTTATTCAGGTATCTAGACAAAATCATTTATAAGGAGAGAAAAATTAAGTTAGCCTCTAGGTTTACTACAGTAACACACAATATCACATATGCAGTGGAGCAATGTCCACGAAGTACCAAGTAATAGTGTGACTTAAAAACAGAATGCACAGCTATATTCTCATTTATGTACGAAAGCAACTGGCAGATATTCTAAATTCAGGAAATGTAGCATCCATCTTTGAAATATAAGATGTAAAAAGAGCTAATAAACTATGTAATTCAGACAAACAAAAGATGAAAGAAGCACTTATTGCAAAAAGGACAGGTACTGACCCATTTTCATACAAATCTAATGCTGCTAAAGGACATATAAAGTCATAAGTCTTGCTGTGAATAATAAACATTGTGAGGGAAAAAACAATTGGAGACAGTATAAGTATTCTATTTTATTCTATTTTCATGGAAATAGAAAAATTATATAGACAGAATCTCTGCTCGGATATCTCTTACATGAGGAGTACAACTTGAATTTTTTTAAGATTATATGTAAAAATATTCAAAATGTATTATTAAATTAATAAAGTAAATTACAAAATGATATCACAGTAGTGGTTTTTAAAATGGATAGAAAATCTGAAAAGTTCATCAATGCTGGCTATATCTGGATTATTGATTATTATTTTATTATTTTATGTAATTTTTGACAATAAGCATGTACTAATTGTGTAGATTAAAAGTTACTCAGAAAAAAATATAAAATTCTATTTTCAGAAATTTCAGGTAGATATAGCCTTATCACCTATACTGCTAAAAATAATTAAAAAGTCA